CATGCTTCAGCAACAGTCTGCAACCAAAACTTTTACATTTTAATCGATTAAACGATACAACCGAATTGAAGAGTATATTAGACGCAAAAAAGCCAGCAGCAACTGTGAAAACTAATTATAAGAACACTTCTTGGAGTTAGTTTATCTGAATATTCACCAGTATTTTTTTGATGAATCAAAATACAACCTGTAAGAGAAGTTTTGCACAAAAATTCCTCCGTTATTACCTCCAAATAAAGCCTTTGAAAATAAAAATCAACACTTCTTGGACTTAGTTTATCTGAATATCCACCAGTATTCTTTTGATAAATCAAAATACAACCTGTAAGAGAAGTTTTACACAAAAATTCCTCCGTTATTACCTCCAAATTAAGCCTTTAAAAATAAAAATCTTCTTGGAAAGACATCGCGTACAAAAGGAGTTTTTGAGTCACAAATGGAATATTTTGTTCAGGCTCCTAAGTCAAACTGAAAACTAAATACTATTACAGAGATTCTAAAGAGAGACAGCTGCAACAAACCAATACCAACTTTCATATGTAAGGCTTCTTCGGCAGTAAGGGACTATCAAAAAGAGCTTCAAGATTTACTCATGACTTCGACGAGCCCTGCAGAAGATACCGGAACATATCAATTTAGGATTCCTCCATCAGTGATGTTCTTCTGGGTTATCAACAACTAGTTTTTCTATAAGCGGTGCTATCGACAAAGTACACCCATTTATGAAGCACTGCTAATCTTTAAATGATAACGAACAACACCAGAATAAATTTAGATCTTATCCGTAAAAACCAATTTTTTTCCCCTATGTTGGCTTCCAAAAATTCTTCCACATACCATGTCTTTTAAAAGTCAACAATCTAAGAGGATAATGCAATACCATCAGTTTTTTCAAACTTTTTTTTTACTTCAAAAATTGTCTAGCAAAAAGAGCTTCAATTGCTAGCAAACTGTAGTTTCTGTCAACAGGCTAGAAGTCGTTCCATCATCTATTGGACCGGTTTTTTTCAGGATTCATACGACGATGACCAAGAGCAAGAGGAAGAAGCAGTAGCTGAAGAGGCTCACCGGAAAACTCGAGAAGGTAATGGCAATTTTTCATATCTAACTTTTTTGGTAGAGTGCAGCAAACTTTCAACAACGAAACCGTCGTCCAGTTTAGCAGAAAATAAAGTTGCTAGGCTCTACGGTTTAAAATCAGATTTGCAAAAGGAGTTTATAAAATTTGAATAAAATCAGAAACTTCCAATAAATTTTACCTAGCAAAAAAGAACACCTTGAAAAAGTAAAGCTGAATAACAAAAAATGCAGAAAAAAGGAAGCAAAATCACTTCTTCCGCATTTTCTGCCAGAGGTAACCATGATGTTTTTTTCTGGTATAATTCTAAAATCGATGAGGGCTCCAACAAATGCTGAGACAAAAATTTTTCTGTCCTGATCTTGCAACCAAAATGATGAATTAAAATTTTCAACAACAACGTCGATTTGCAAAAAGTACGGAAACTTCTTCAACTGTGCACAAATATACACCTTTGGTCACACTCTAAACTCCTAATATCCCAAGAGACAAAAAAGAAGAGATGGGAGCAATAAAACCAAATTTCCTACAATTACTTCTTCACCTAAGAATCGACTGTCTATAATTCAGTCCTCTCCACTCAATGTACAGGTCAAACTTTAGAAGGATTTTTGCCTGCTTTAAACGAAACCAACAGACTGAAATTGCTGGCAGAAGGCTCATGCCCCAGCCTCACTGACGTCTTCCTCCAGCAATGTTGAGACGCAGTAATCACAGATTATAGAGTACATCCATAAAACAGGAGGCAATAAGCAAATACGCAGTTCTTAAAAATAAGGCTGAGAAGAATTGTTGAAGTACCTTACTAAAACAGCAATAAAACACCTATATATCTGATTTATGTTTGGTAAAGACTTTGAAAGCTCATCATTTTTTTGCCTCCTAAAAACCTATATGAATTACAATGTCTTTCGATCTTCAAAAGCGAAATATTAAAAAAGAGAAAAAAATTAAACAGATTTACTTAGCAACTCATTTTTTAGCACAAAAAGAAGAGCTCCCAGATATTCATCTATCTTACTGGTGGATTGTATGGCTTACCGTACAATTTGCTATATGTGTCCTGGCTTTGGTTGCTGTGTTTAAATGGAAACCAAATTCCAAAAAAAAAATTGGAAGAAAAATATTAAAAATTCGACAATTTTTAGAAAATAAAATTCATGAAACAACTGTGAACCGTAGTCAGAAATCCTCCGCTGTGAACGCTGTTTAAATGCTCTTTCTCTAATACACCAAAGTTTTGGCAAGTTAATCAATTTTAACAATGCTGTCGTACGCCTTTTCCTGTTTTCATTAACACCAACAATTCATTACCGCTATTCATTAGTTCTTGTTTGTAACGATAACGACAATCAAATGTATAAAAAAACCTGTTACAAATTCCGTAACCAATTTATGGCCACGAAAAAAATTTACCAACTCTATCTTATGTCATCACTCAAAACACATCCGTCTCTGTGCACCAATATGATAACATATACCACTCGAACTTACAATTTTCCCCTCCATTTCTACCTCTTCAAAACAAAAACACAGCTACAAAATGAAGCCTGTTTTTACTGTAATTAACTAGGCCAACTTGTCATCCAATAAACTGCACATCAACATTACTTGTCGGAATGGCAAAGTAAACAAACACTATCGGCTGTTTCTTAAATGAATGTCTCAACTTCTAGGCAATTAGACACTTCACAATGCTCTTACAACCACTAAAACGTCATTTTTTGCGTTGTTCCCTTGTTCCAAAAACAACAAAAAAGTAGAAACTTGGCAGGAAAAATTTCAATATTACCTCCTCTATAGAAAGTTTAACTGAGGTCATAGAAACATCGGAAGTACGACTAGATCAAATGAGAACCAAAAAGGTAGGGAAATTCCAAACCGAAAATTACGAGTGAACCTTTTTAAAGATGACAAATCAAAAAATTCACATCTGTTTCGTTAAGACCAAAAATTAAATAAACATCGGTAACCTTCGCTTTCACCCTCAAAAATACAACGTCAAAACACGACATTTTTAACAGCAAAATTCAAACCACCAATAGAACTCTGTCAATCAAAAAATATTTCTCATAAAAAAAATAATTTGACTCTGATATGTTTTATCATTCAAGCCACGAAATTTCTCACAGAAACCAAAAAAGTAAAATAAATAAACAATACAAGTCTAGAATTCTGATTAGTGTTTTGCACCCTCTGTAACACTGACAAAAAAAAAAAAAGTTACATCACCGACCTATTCCCATATATATTAAACTGGTGAACTTTAACTTGTTACAGTCATCTAATGACAACTCTGCAGCCTCAAAGACTGCACCACAAAAAACCGTTTGAAACTGGCAATGACTAACACACATCAATGTTCTCCTTTCCAACCCATCTAAAATTTGTAGACTTCAGCTTAATGCAATAATTCGCGCATTAAAAATCACAACAGTATACATTATTTCAAATGATCCTTTTGAATCGCACATCTCTTATCTTTTTTTGCTATCTGAATAGACCATGCAAATTGCCTGTAACCCTTGTTTTAATCCTGTTCCATCAGATAATCATCCGACTGCTACATCAAAATTTCATCCATTCTTACCAAAAATTATATACAACCTCACATTACAAACATTTCATTTCCAACAACAAATACTACAATACCGCTAGAATGTTAAAGGTATCAACCATAAACAGATTTTTAAAAACAACGACAACTTCCCTAAATGCTTCCGCTTCATAACTTTCAAAACTACATCACAAAATCCAATCAAATTTTCTATAAATAAAGTTGAATTACCCTGACTTACACGCAAGGCCCAACAACAATCATGACGCAATGAGCATACGTATTATTAAATATTTTTTTAATGTTTTCGACGTTCTTCAAAAATTCAAAAGCGTTTTTAAGATCAGATAATTAAAACAGAAAACATTTAAGACATCTTAAATAAAGATAAAACCATGACAGATCCGTAAAGAGAAAATTAGGGCGTAATTAATATTCAGCAACTGAGAAAAAACAGTAGTCAGGAAGACGCTCCAAAACTTGCCGCTCAGAAGGATAGCACTCGAAAACAAATGATCAAAACAAAGTAAAAATTTATTAAAGTTATCACAGGCAAAAGAGCTCAGTAAACTTACAAAATAAACTGCTGATAAAGCGAACAAATTAAATCAATAATACAACTTCAAGAAAACTATCTCACAATGTTGCATGAAAACTCAGAGAAATTGTGGTCAAATTCACCACAAATTTTCGGTATCAAACTTCCGTTTTGCTTAAGTCATTGTAATTAAACAAATACGGTGTACTGACTTACATGCTTAAACTACTCTGAAGAAGATTTCTACCGGCCCAGTAAAAAACTGTCCAACCTTACTCCACAACAGACAGAAGAACGTATAAACTATAAAATGATACCGATAAGAACTGTTTTAAGAGAACTTGAAAGGCACAAAAAGAAAAAAAAGAAAAAAAAAGGAAGCGGAATTTCCGCTTTCGTATGAAATATACAATAAGATTTCGAAGACTGAAAAGACATCAATAACCATTTACCTTCTTAAAACTCAAAACCGTTTACTAGGTATAATACATGACCAATATGGTAAAAACCAATACTACACAAACAATAAACGAGCTCAAGGAAAGCTAGATGGGCTTTAAAAACTTGGACCTCATTCTAGGTTGGAGACGAATGACTAGGAAACGTGTACTGTGTCATATTTGCTTAAGAAATATATATGTAAAAAAAGCAGTCACACATTGTCCGATTCCGGAATTCTGCTCAGTATATATATTAGAAAACTCAACATGTTGGCCAACAAGATTGTAACAGGAATGCAAAATAATTAAAGGACAGTTTATAAATATAAACGAAACTCTGCAAAAACTAACCATAGCTTCGTTTAAATCACATGTTATAATTAACAGTCACTTACTAAAAGCTTCAAAGACAGCCCAAACAACATCAGTAGAAGAGTTGAATCCTTTCCTTTCACTTTCTGCTCCGTAGTCAAGCTCCAATAACGTACGAACTCGTTTCATTGCCAACTCGTAGTCCTTTATAAAAAAAGGTTCAGAATATCTTGAGCAATAAATTCTTAACAAATTTAAAAGCATAAAGCACTTTTTTTCAACCACTAAAAATTAAAAATGACCAACAACTACTAAAGGCACCACAGAAAAATGACAAAACGCCAACGAAATAAGAGAAGCAGGTGCTTTCAGTAATCACGATAGTAAATTGAAATTTCAACTACATAAAAATTTTTAAAACTCGTAAAAAATTTTCTAAGTATTTCTGAACTTAAATAATGTCAATTTATACAGATCTAAAAAGTTTCAAGCACACGTTATCAAACAGAAGAGTGAAAAAAAAACTAACTTGATCCGATAGAGGAGCAAAAGCATTTTCCAAAACATCGCTAGCATGAGCAAGGATAATAAGCGCTAACACCCGTTTGTCCATTCGATGTACATCGTTAGTCCACTTGCTCAATACTGCATCTTGTACTTGCTAAATGATATGCATCATTTCAATGGCACGCCAATAATACATGCATAATATAAACTTAAAAAAAAACAAAAATCTGATGGCCGCCAATTTTAAACGCTTTATTCCCCATCCATAAGTGAAAACTTAAAAAACAGAAGACCATCCGCCAAAATATCTTCGATAACCGAATTTCTTTTAAAATTAAAAAAGTCAGCAGAAAAAACAACACAAAAGCATAATCTACGACATAGTCAAACGCAAAAACGATGTACAACATGCAAATCAACTGTTCTCAAAATAGATCGACAAGATTTACAAATTGTCAAAATTTTAAAATTCGATTTGTAAAACAACGAACTGGAAATAAAGAAAACAACAATTTCGAAAAAAGAAACCAACGAACAGGATCATAACATCATTATAGAGAGGGCTCTAAACCAATTAAAAGCTCTGCTCAGAAATATAAAACGTGCATTACAATCACATAAAATAACGTAGAGTACCTCAACATAACAGGAAATGCTCAAAATACTTTCATTCCAGAAACCAATATGGGCTTGCAAAACTCCTAGTTTTTCTAACAAAAAACCTACTCAACTAGTCCATTCCAGAAATCTGAAAGCTTTCTAACACCACAAGATGAAAAATTATACCAAATCACTTTAGAAACAGAAAGACTTACAGCAAGAACATTTCAATAAGTACATATCAACCGCAGAAGGTTCCTATCAACAAACCAACAACAACTAATAAAAACCTCTGATAAAGGGCATTAATTTTTTCTCACGGTTGGTAGCATATAAACCTTACCTTAATGAGAGTATTTTTCATATTCCCATTCTGCAATGGATGGGTGGTCATGTCAAAAAGCAAAAAATTCTGCTTCTCCGTTGTCAAAACGCCTTTCTCAACAAGATTTTTGGCAAGTCTTTCACGGACATTCCTCAGCTAAAAAGTAAACGGAGGTTATTGTACCAAACACAAAAACTACGCAATAAGAAAAATGTAGTTTATAATAACCCACAGAGTACCTGGTAGCGTAATTTCAGAGGATTCCACGTTTCTCCACTTAAATATTCGATCCAGCTTGTAACATTTTCTGGCGGCTTTGTTTCTTTTATATGCTTCAGTGCTTCATCCAGAATTACATCACCAGTAGCGGAAACCTCTCCCGAAGGATTTTCTTTCACAAGAACCTATCAAAAAAAAATTGTGCACTTCTTTTAAAGGGGTTTTGATAATTGGTAAAGTTAAGAAGTGTATTAATAACGTTTTTAATGTACTTTTCTAGTGAGAAGTCCCCTCTTTCTCGCTCCAGCTTTCTCCAACTCTATTCTGTTTCTAATAGCCAACTCGACCAAAACACACCCACGCAACCCGCTGCTGATACAATCATTCCAAAATGATGTATAACCCTAAATGAAAGAAGTGTCAAGCAAGCAAAAAGGATGATAGAGGACATTAAACATTAATTTTATGCTTTCGTAAAAACTACCCCATAAAAGCGTCTTCAAGACCGTAATTTCCAGTACTTTTGTATTTCTTATTTATCACATGGCCATAAAGAATTCCTGACAAGCAAAGCAAAAAACACACTTCTCTATCCTTCAGACCCAACAGAAGTATTTGTTCCATTAAAGTCAAACGGGTAGCCTTATCATCATCGTCATAGCCGTCGTTAGATTCATTAGAGTCCTCGACATTACCATCTGCCTGCTTCTTCTGCAGCAAAAAAAATAAAGTTTAAAATGAGCCAAGAATTCTAACACTCAATTTACTCGCAAGTTATTTGCGACTAGTAGAACAGGAACTTTTGAATTAAACTTTAAGCAAAATAAAATATCAACTTACTACTCTGATTCGCAGACCATCCGTCATCCCGTCCTTTCGAAGGTTTTATTGCACCCTGCAGAATTGTATTCTTGATTATAGTCGCTTAGAGCTGTCTAAATCAAGGCAGATAATATAGCCAAGTCATGGGCAAATAATGCTTGCGACGGTCTTGAATCGTACATTTCGACCAAACAGTGAAAACAACAACAAATCTACCTTTCCTATACTAAACGCTCCGATAAAAAAGAAAGATTTTAAAATAACATAATAAAAACCTGCCCAAATATGTCAAATCAAATAATGAACATACATCAAAATTCGTAGTAAAAATGTAACTTTAAAAAAAAAAACATGGCTAAAGTTCACTGATATTCACAGTCTTTCTCACCAAAGAATCATCCAGCGAGAAAAGACATTACTTTCAAAAATGTTCTCTTTGTAAACGACCAAATTTCCAGAAGCTAAAACAAGAAATAGATATTATTCGACCGGGCAAAGAAAAGTGAGCTTCAATAACGAGCTAAAACAATCAGCTGCAACTTTTATCAAAAATGACAGATAAAGCAAAAGCAACTATAGTCTCAAAAATCCATGCTTAACTTCAATATACAGAAAAATGAAAAATAGTTCCTAAATATTTAGTTAAATCGGGGAAACTACGATTATCAAAATTCAAAACGGAGAATACTATCGAACAACGCCCAAAGATATTATCTTGCAACTAACAAATAATATCATAGACAATAAAGGTGTAAAACTTCAAAATAAAAATCGATTATATCAAAAGAAATGATTTTAGTGATCTGTTATCAACATCGCGAATAAACCGACAGAGATCTAAAAACAAGAACAAGCCTCGACTCTTTCCTCTTCAAACAATAAAGTTACAAGTTCTCATCACAGAAACTAAAGAAAGGTACTATCCAGAAAAGAATGAACAAACTCAAAAAGCAACCTCCAGTCAATAATTTTTTAACGGAAAAAAATAAAGTTATTTTGCACTTTAAAACTCGATCCACGAATTATCCAACAAAAAATTGCATATGAAACAAATTTAAGAAAGTATATACTAACGACTACGCTGTTGCAGTTACAAATCGCAGCACTTCGTAGCAGTTATCTAACGAAATAGACTAAAATTTCTTAATTTCTAGTAAATAAGACAGCATACGTCCCAAACCAAAAAAAATTCTTCGCTTTACTCGCTGACCCCATCCACAGGCCAAGCGAAATAACTAATTAATTATTAAGAAAAAAGTATAGGTACAAGTAGAGCTTTAATCTCAAAGATACTCTCAGTGAGTCATCAAAACCTACCACCATACCGAACTACAGCACAATACTGATAACCGTCAATAACTATGCAACAACTAAAATAAGCCTCTTGAAATTATACTCCAGTTTTTGTTAACCATAATAAAGTTTGAAAATTGATTATACCAAATAAGCCTCCTAGATTAAAATTAGAAAAAAATTTCATATTAGAAACCAAAACTTGACGTATATATTCTAATAACGAATGAGAAACAAGTACAATGTGTCAAATTAGATTTTGCTACAACTGAAACAGCGGAAGTTAAAAGCTATCAAAATTATATACTACAGCTCTCCTGGGTCAAAGCTTGAGCAAAACGACAACCAAACTAATTAAAAATCGAACAATTTAGAAGTCAGATTGAACCAGTTCCTTATATTTGTAAACGGCGAAGGTGATGCAACGGATAAGATCTCTGGACGCACGACATAAACCTAACGCAGAAAACTTATCCTAATTTCTTTGAACGTGTCCACAAATCAGACCTTTAAAATCATTAATTGTACAATGACAAAAACTCTTCGGAGCACATTCATCATACTTAATTTAAGCAGTTACCAAACACCCATCGAAAATATTATTTACGTTATCAAAAAGACTAGCGAAGAAGCAACAAAAAATAACCCTAAAAACCAGAAAAGTGTTGGCAATGACGACAAATTACTTATAATAAGCCTTATGAAAAAACACTTCCATTTGTTACCAACAGCAATGTTTCACTGAATAAAACTAAGCAAGTTTCCATGTAACAACAGCCCATATCTTCCCTTCAAAAGACAACCCTAACTCAGATTAATCTAACGCTTACAAAGGATGAGGTGTACATAGTTCTGAAGTGCTCAAAGACGGCTTGAAATGTAAGAAAAGCAAACAAGAAACTAGAAGAAAACGAAGTCACAGATGTTATACCGTAATGAAAAGTAACCAGGTAACATGAAAAACCTGCCAAAAATACATGAACAAAGTCTTGTAAGAATTCCCAAGTGATAATAATTTTCATTAGTACCAAATCCCTGTCAACCAAAAAATGTCCAGAAACAGTGGTTTCGCGGAAGAAAATTTATCAGAAACAAAGGCTCAAATAATGCTGTAAAAACAAATACAAAAAATAAATGAAGAAAGAAACTACTGATATTCGATAGAAACAACAAAAAATAAGTGAAATGCTGAATAATTAAAAAATGATAACTTTTCATCCATGTTACATACCGTCACAGCTGCGGAAACTAATATGGCAGGAAAGTGCTGTATATATTTATAAAGCATTAATTGACTGAAAATAGTTCCAGCACAAATAGTTAAACAAGTACAAATATAAACAAACAGCCAAAACTTAATTTTGCAATCGCAAAAAGTGTAACTCTTGCTGCTCCTACTCTACCTATTTTCCTTTTTATATAATCTGTTTAAATACACTATCAAAAAAATGCGACGAACATTTCTTTCTTTTCCATCTCATACACAACGTTTGTAGCTCTAGATCCGAATTAAAACAATAAAAATAATATACTGATGCATTATACATCTAAACGCATACAAACGACTACCTACCTTCTGAAAAGTTCGTCACTCTAACGGAATTTTTGATATTTGGACAATGCAGTAGCTTGTGTACGAAAAATTGATACAAATAACACGAGAGCTTTTAACTTAATCAGCTATATTAATCAAAAAATAATGGATTTGCCACCGTTATCAAACACAAACACGAAAGGAGAAGAACTTTTCTCGAGCAAAAAGACTTCATAGAACAGCTGTAAATCATCATCATCATTTTATCCTCGACCATTACAACAATTAATTTACATAAAGAACAACATCAAAAACAAAAACTCCTCAACTTCCCCTGCATTTTCGGGAATTTCTTCAAAACAGCAAGATGGTTTGCAATATTTCACTTCTATTAATTCATCCAAACCCCCTCCATCTACCCAATTAACCGTAGAAACAAAATCTTATCTTTTACCAGAAAAACTTCAAAAAATTAGCCATAACAAATTAAACACAGGAAAATCACACAATTTCTTCCAACAACTTCCCCTACTTGCCTTATTATTTATTCTTCAAATAATAAATAATCCTCTTTCAAAAAGAAAAAGAAGAAAAAAGTAGAAATGCGGAAGAACAACCGTACAGTACCAGCCGTTAATGTATAAGGAAGGCTCAGAGCTTAGTTTAAAATAATCAACGTTATATTCTATACGCTACCTTCCGATCCGGGTATTTTAAAAAAAAAACATATCTCTTTACTGGAACTTTAGCAGCTGGTGAATCACGCACACGCAACATATTCCTGTTGAAACAACCAAAAAAATTTCATTCTTCATTCATTTTCTAAAAAGATGTTTACTACATCTCCTTCCCTAAAAAGTATGTGGAAAGTTTAAGACGTCCATAAAACAAATCTGAAACATAACTTACCAACGTCAAAAGAATCAGACGCCCAGAACTGCTGTTATGTCTTTCAACAACATTTACTGTCCAAACCTCCCAAGATGAGGCTTTTAAGGGTGAACAACGACAATGATAACACCAAACTGTAATTACAGCAGTAACTGCACCAAGAAAAAACAACATTAACAACTGCATCGAGAAAAAAAAAAAAGAAAAAAGGAAGGAAGAAGGCTGAAAAGAAACAGAGGATCGTTGGTCGTACGAACGAAAACGTGGTAACACCATTTCCGACAACGACAAACACAACGGATGAACAACGACAGACAGGCACACATCCACGTCCCGTCGCCGTACACATGAAAGGAGAACGAGGTTGGCAAAACTTGGTTTGCCAGCGTCAAATTCAGCGCGATGCCACACGCGACAAACCGATGTGATCGTTGTAAGACCATATTTGCGATAAGCACACACAAAGAATACAACTTACAGACGGAAAGCTTACGGCACTGTGTGAACTATCTATCGAATTTTGCAGCCATATATTTACTTTTCTCAGCTTTTGCCGTCATTGTTGTCGTTGCCAACGATAATACTTTTTTTAACAAAAAATAGGTAAAAAAGTACTGCAAAAAAGCATTTACTTCAGATTTTCGCATGAAGAATTTACTTTTGCCACGAATTAAGATGAAAACGACCTTTTTCTTTCTTTTCATTTTTCGCCGTCGTCGTTGCCGTTCGTCTTCTCCATCGCTTTTCCTCATCTTCCATTCATAGATAATGAATTTATGACACACATAAAAACTGCTTGCGTTTTTTTGCAAAACATTTTTTATTTTACGTTTTTCTTCAACAAACTTTTCATGATGAAAATTGTTTTTCTTATTTCTCGTTCTTTCTCCTTTGTTCTTTACCTCATTCTCGTCCAACTAAAAGTAACAACAGCAACAGAAAGGTAAAAAACGAAGAATTGCATATGCTGTAGCATATTAATATTCGGTTAAACTGAGAATTTAACTATTGAAACTACATTTATTTATTAGGAAAATTGTACCTACTGATTTTTCAACTCAAAATGTTCTTTTGCCGCAAATCTTTTTGTTTTCCCCTCTTCCATCCTCTGAAGTCTTGGCTGGTGTTTAGAAATTCACTCTAACGCCGATTGCAGTATGTGGGTGATCATTTGTAAAGCAACTTTTAATGGAAATATATATTGCAAAAAGGGGAATTTGTATTCACAAAAGATAGAGTGTAACGCTATCCAGAAATAACAATTTCAAGGTTAACGATAATGATTATTTTTAAAAATATTTGGAAGACCAAAAATTGGCTAAGAAAG